TCCAATCTCCAATATTTCAGAAAACCCCAGAAGTTAAACTGATGACAAGCTCGATGGGTCACCAAGCTCACAGAATACGACTTCACTCTCCACCACAAGCCAGGAGTGGCTAACAAAAAAGCTGACTTATTGAGTCACAGAGTGGATCATGATCAGGAAAAAAAGGATAATGATGACACAATCATCCTAAAGCCCAAATTCTTCTGGGCCCTAATAATGCCCTCAGAGGAAGAAGTCCACAGGAAGATCACTAGAAGTATGAGCAACACTCAGTTGTGGGATAAAGGGATCTCTGATTCCCTTAACTATGAAAGAGGAGTTCAGCAAAAAGGAAACCTGCTGTACTACGATGGAAGGATCTACATCCCTAAAGATCATTCACTACAGGGAGAACTTATCTCGCACACTCATGACCATATCACTGCTGGACACCCTGGAGTAGCCAAGACCCAAGAACTGGTACTTTGAGATTACTGGTGGCCCAGAATGCATTGGGATGTAATGAACTACATGAAAGGATGCAAAACGTGTCAAAGAACAAAGCTAGACAACCACAGACATGCTGCACCCCTTCACCTGAATGCAATGCCTTCCTGACCATGGGAACACATATCTGTCAACCTAATCACCAGACTACCCGACTCGAAAGGCTATAATGCCATTCTAGTAGTAGTCGACCAGTTCTCCAAGTACAACATTGAAGAGGCTGGCTGTGGGCACCTGTGGAATAGTGAGCAGGCTAAAAGGTGAACCTCAAAAACCCACACACACACTCACACAACTAAACAAACTACAATCACCCTCATAAGTTCTAGGGGGAGCGATTATTCCTAATGCGATCCAACTATACTTCAATATCTCGAAGAGTTTCTCTTATTCTCAGTACTCTTAGCAAAGCTAAGCTTTCTCTAATGAATCCCTAAGTCTAGGAACTTTTACAGGAAGGTCGTTCACTGGTGCGACGCAACCTTCAAGGCAGATTTGAGTTAAAATACACAAGGGACACTGATCCCGACAGAAACAGAGGCAATACATGCTGAAACTTTAGTGAGCTTGCTAAAAGAACACCACAGGCAAGCACTGACTTAGCCCACTCACTACACAACTGTATGTAGGGGTTCTCCAACTAACTCCAGCAGGTTATCTCAACTCAAGAACACTTCAGAAGCACTTGGAGACAGATTCAGAAACGGAACTTCGAACAGAACTGACACGGAACAGACTGAAACAGAACAGAACAGAACAGAACAGAACAGAACAGAACAGATCTCAGATTCCCACTTCAACACATTCTCTGAACAGACTTATCACACTTAACAGAACAGAAACAGCATCACTGATTCATATTCACTCTGACTAAGTGCACAAAAAGTCTTTTCTCAAGGGTATCTTGTATTTCTCTGAGTGAGCTCACTAATTCTATGCAAAGCTCAAAGCCACAAACTGATCCTTTGTTACAGTACCGCCTTCAATGCATGCACGGGAACTCGGGGGCTCGAAACTTACTTCTACCTACTGTAACCAGCCTACTTATACTACAGGGGAACCAGAATTACAAATGTCGTGCACTACCCAGACTCCTACCTGCATAGCACGTTGCCACCACCACCTTACTGAGCATCCGGGTCGGACTTCCCAGTTTTAGTCTCATTTCTATAGTGAGCTCACTAAATGCATGCCAAGAGGTGCTCTCCCAACACCTGCGGGCTTGTTCTCTAGCGACTGACAGGTCTAGGTGCACAGAACTATCAGTCCTGGTGTATGTCATTCAAGACTTCTTTCTTGGATTCACAGAGGCTTCTCATAGACATGGCAACAAGTGAGTCTTCTAACAATGGGACTCAGAACAATGGGACATGGGCTCATGGACTTCAGCTGAAGCCCATTGCCCAAGTTTGTGCTGGTGATATCTGTCATCTCACTTAAGGATTTCCCTGGATTTTCAGGTATGACACGTCACAGTTAGCGAGCGCGCTAAGTATTCTCAGTGTCACTGCAATCTTCAAGGTTTTATCTAGCTCCCATGAGCATGCTTGTAAGTTAGAGCCTAAGGCATTGAGCATAGGGTTTGGCCTTCTCATCATGCATGCCTGTCAGGTACAGTGCAGTGACTAAGTCCTGTTTAGAATCCCATTGCTTCTTATGCCATAAGTTATATTCCATATCATTGCACCGCATAGCATTAGTGTCGATGCGTAGTTTTAGTCCGCTCACTCACTATATCTTGGTATGCATGTAAAACATGTTAGATTGCAAAATTACATGCATAAATAGGCTGCAGTCGCAACAACGTATTCATCCCATGCACCAAGGAGATTGCATCCATAGGATGGGCAAAAATCCTACGAGATGAAATCATTTGCTGATTCGGAGTTACTCCATCCAAAATCATCTCTGACTGTGGCCCACAATTTGTATCCAAATTCACAAAGGAATTGTATGCCCTGCTGGATATTCAGGGAAACCCCTCTATGGCCTATCACCCACAGACGGATGGTCAAACTGAATGAGTTAACCAGAAACTTGAAAAGTACCTGCAAAACTTCGTTAATTTCAGACAAAATGATTGGAGCGAATGGTTGCTCTTAGCTGCATATGCTCTGAACAACTGAGAACATAGTTCAATGGGATTCTCCCCTTATAAAGTCATCTTCAGGCAGGATGGCCAAATTTGACCCTTTACACCTTGGGATACGGAGACACCATCAGTAGCAAACTTCGTTGAGGAACTCTGAAAGACCCAACAGTGAGCAGAAACAGCTCTAACCAAAATGGCAGAAACAATGAAACAAACATACAATAATCACCAACAACCCAGTCGGGACTATCAACCAGGTGATAAAGTATGGCTGGACGTGACCAATTTGCACTTGCCATGACCAGCCAAAAAACTGGACAACAAATAAGTGGGACCTTTCGAAGTTACTGCAAAGAAAGGATCCTCGACCTACAAACTACAACTACCAGTGGGGTGGAAAATTCATAATCAATTCAATGAAACCTATCTCACTCTCTACACACCACCCGAATTCCCAAATCAACAAGGACCCAAGCCTCCACCTCCAGAACTAATTGAAGGAGAAGAAAAATATGAAATAGAGGAGATACTACAAGACAAGGAAACAGCCGTTCGGCAAGGGAAGCGATGAGTCCATGTCACTGAATACCTCATCAAATGGAAAGGCTATCCAGTTGAAGAAGCAACATGGATGTCATGAAGTCAACTCGCAAACACTGAAGAGCTCATACTAGAATACGAGCAACACTTGGAAGCTCAGTTTATGGATGCTGAGAATGAAAATTCATACTCAGACGACTTCCCTTCACATTACAGCCCAATGCAGACACTGACAGAAAAAGAAGAATTCCACGAATGGGTGGCAGCCCAACAAATACCACTCTCAACACTCCTAGGATTCACCACATCTTCAGACCACAAATCTAACACTGACTCAGTCGGGATGACTGAGTCTTAGTGGGGGGGTAATGTCATGAATTCACCTATTTCTTTTCATTTTTGTCATCTGTCTCATGTCATCATTCCTCGATTGTCATCCAAATCTTGTCATCATTCCCATTTGGTTCATTCGTAACCTGCATGCCGATACTCCTGCATCACACCAGACTTCCATCACAATATATTTGTTCTGATCACTGACAGTCGCTTCTCCATCACTTGATCCCTGGTTCATGGTGGACAAGCTCAGACATTCTTATTCAGGCAGAGTCCCGACCACAAGGGCACCATTCTTCCAGAACCCTGCTCGACTCTCTGGCCACTCACCATTGGATAGTCCATTTGTTGGCACATTACCATTTGTCATGTTGCACTAGTTCTCTATCATGGAACCACCGTAGCGTAGTTATTATTAAAGTACCAAACATGTATTTAAGCAGGCCTCAGCTGTGGGTTAAACCCCAGCTTCAGCTAAAGTCATATATTCCCAACTTTTACTTGAACTCCAAATTCCGTGACTAATTAAGTCTTGACTACCTAACAAACGAACTGCATCGCTACCTTCATTTCACTTCACCAAAGTACAAGTGACAAACTAAGGCTCAACCTTGCTTTTCTGAGTTGGTGCTTGACACCTATGAATCTATTTATATTTATCCTGTATCTTTCTCTGTAGTATATAAGTAGTAGAAGGGGTGGCCTAGCAATCAGGCAAGCCATCCCTGTGATTGTGACCTACTAGTCAGTATTCTAGTGCCCCAATTAAAGGCTTTTGTGCTTAACCTCGATAAAGTGTCTACTAGTCACTTAGTCACCTATAGTATTGAACAAATTGAAGTGTCTTAAAGTTGCCATTCCATCTTGGAGTGACTCAGAGCATTTCAAAGTTAGTTAAAGTATTTGTTCTTAGGCCAAGAGTGCCACTAGTCGAGCCTAGGGTGCTGCTAGTCAAGTGTAGACTGCTTGTGAGACCCAGTATTTGGTCCAGAGTGCCACTAGTTTCAAAGTATCAGAGTTAGACCGAGTGCAGTTGTTCAACCCAAGTCACTATTTATCCAATCATGTCTTAAAACCCCACTAGTGTGAGTATTACATCTTGTGTAGCTCACTAGTACCAAATATACATCTTTAAACAACCTTTTCCTGATTTGTTGAAGTCTGCAGAGTGCTTCTATCATACTCAAAACACCCAAACTCAATAATATTGGTGATTTGTGTAGAGTAGTAGAGGGTTTTGGTGTTGTGGTGTTCATATCCATTCACTAGCCTTTTGTCACTTGCCATTACTGAGCACATCAGCACAAGGCTTCTTTCAATATTACTGTTATTATGTGCTTGTATTGCACATCTCCCCTGAACTACTGAGGGTTTGTGTGTGTGAGAGTGTGAGTGTGGGTGCGTTAGTGTTTTATATGCTGGTGCATTTCTAGCTTGGCATGCACAGAGCCTCTTCAACGCACAGCAAAGCTGGAATTGTCAGGACCAGGGGAGTGGGAGAAGACTCTGAGAGTGCTGGATAACAAGGATATCAGGGCTTATACAGATGTGGAGTGAAAGAAGTGAGGACCAGGATGCTATGGCACCAACAAAGATGATGATGGGGCCATCCATACCAGTGAGGATGAAGAAGAAGAGGAGGAAATTAACCTGAAAGTGGATGAATGCAACCTAAAACATGGTACTGGAGAAACTAGGTGTATGCTGTCCTGAATATGGCAGACCACCTCTATCAACATCAAAGACAGCACTGACCACAACAAGGAAATTCTATGGGCAGAATGGTGTAAAGGCCACACATGGTCAAAGAGAGGTGTAGAGGAAGTATTGTTGCTGTGTGAGGAAATGCACCGAGTTCTCAAGTTCCTGGCCTGGTAAGCCAAATGGTGGGAGGATCAGGAGGCTGCAAGAGAGGTTGTAGGGACAATGGTTTGTCTAAGAGTCTACTTGCCTATGCACAATGGCAGGCAATGCTTTAGAACAAACTGATCATGAAATTTGAAGAGATGTGGAGGATGCTGTTAGAAGATGTGGAGCCAGAGCCAGAGAGTGATCAAGAGGATGATGAGAAAGAGAGTTCAGATGATTCAGAGGACAATTTAGAAGGTGAGGCTGAGCTGTCAGTGTAACGAGGCTGTTGGACACCTATATGCATATGTATGATAGCTTAAATTGGATTACATTTTCTGCTGAGTGCAAACAGGAGAGTAGTAATTTGTAAACCTCTAGATGGATTTTGATGTGGATATCTATTTTTAACTGATCCCACCAGCATCCCGCCACAAGCTGACATGCTTTTGCCCACCCAAAAAAATGAAATTCATGAAAAAGATGAAGAACAATGGTGTCTATCAAGATCAACAAAAAAAAAAGATGGTTGAAAAATTTCTAAAAATAGACCCATCCTGCCCATCAGCAGTGAGTGCATATGATGCAGAATGAGCTGCCCCACTACCTGAAAAAACTGGCCCAAAAAAAGCTAGATTGATTGAACCTATTTTGAGATTTCATCCAAAATGGAATTTTAGCATCCACAATGAGTGGGCAAGTGCATGCCACCAGTGATGAGCAGTGAAGGCATGGCTGTGCCCCAGTGAGCATAGGGGAGGGCCATGACTAGCTGTGATGGTCTCCAGGGAGAGTGACAGCATTGACTACCCTATATAGGTCCCCAGTTAATTGACTGGGTTTGATATATACAGGTGTCTTCCACAGGTGTATGAGCATGAACAGTCTAAAGATGACCAAGCAGAATATGACTGATTATTCACGTTAGCTCTTACACCTCCCACCACACAGTTGATATACCTCTGTAATATAAGACCTCATCCCTATACTAAGCCTTTCCCTCACCTGCTTCTATCAAATCAAACACACAATGCTGCATGCAACACTTGATCAGCATAAATTTGTTCAGCATGGTTACAAGTACTGTTTGAGGTGGAATACCAAAGTTTAATGGGTGGGTGCTGATGGTATCCTGAGATGATGAGAGAGGGGAACAGATAGACACTGTAGTCCAGGGCAAGATACTCAGTGAGATATTAAAAGACCATTGTTGCAGCTGACAATGTCCCTGCTCATGCAACTAGCTTTGAGGTGATGGTGTTGCAATGATGGTTATTGATAATCAAAGGCCATTATGGTGCTACCACTTTATCCAGTTTTTCCAGGAGTTGAGCTGAGACACAAGGCACATTGGACCAGTATACATGTATTAGTACTACTATATTCCTGACAGTGTGAACCATCTTCAGAGTGAACAATCATGCCTATGCTATGAATAGATCACTGTCAGAATAAGATTTTGAGGTATGATTGTAGTGTTACTGTTTGTGAGATGATCTTCTACAATGACTCCAGTGGCAATATTAGCTAATGCTCTCAACATGATGCTTGTATACATAAGATCTGTTATCTGTGAAAGTGGACATTTTGTCTTATTCCAAGCCATCTGTTAAAAAAATATCATATGATAGTCTACCAAGGATCAACCAAGGAGAGAATACTCTACATTATAGAGAATGACACTGATTCTCATACTAGATGCTAATTACCTCAATTGAATAATCTGCACAACAACACTTGTGCTGGTTTTAGCTCATTGTGAAAACTGTTTTGATAGTATCTCCATATACAGGAACCCTTCTCTTCTGATAATTCAAGATGACACCATAAAATACTACTGTTGATCAAAGGTCCAATTTAGACCAAGCTTTCATTTCTTATCATATTGCTTTTTTGGAGTATAGGGATTATCTATTTAACATTACAGGCAAAATTTTCTCAGAGTGGGTGCTGTATATAATAAGGAGAACTTGTGTTAGCCAATTTATCAATAAACCCTACCTAGGCTCATTACTACTCTCTTCACATACCTTCCATGGCTGCTCAAACAGATTTTCCACCTGGCTTGACTGAGGCTGCAATACATCAATTGCTTGACTATGAACTAAACTCAGGCATATTTTACTTTCTATTACATGGTGCATATATCCACTTGAATTCTCAATAATCCTGTTTGACCTTAGACCCACAGGCATATACACAGGTGTCCTTGCTGTAACTTTGTGGAGTATTTGTGAATGAGTCATATCTAACTGACTAGTAGTTGAGCTGACTAGTGTATACAGATATTTCTAAGTCTCAACCAATAAGAAGAGGCTTGGTTATTGTTACCATAGTCCTCTATATCACAACTTCCATTAATGTTGCCATCACATGGTCAAGCATATGCTCTGCCTTTATTGACCATGGACAAAATCTGTGGACCAAGTATTTTACATATGCAGAGGCCAATGTCCCAGTAGAAACACTTGGAGCAGGTATTGTCAGCACTATTAGTACTATCCTTGCAGATTCTACCATGGTGTGTTATGTTTTTTACTGGAAATTTTGATTTCAACTTAATTTTTCAAAATATAGATCTGGCGTTGTTGGCAAGTCTGGGGACAGTGCTGGCTAATTGTTCTCATTCCCATTCTTTGTTTATTTTCTGGTGTTGGTACAGTTATCTGTCATCTTTTGTAGTTTTCTTTAATCTGAATTTAGTGCATCAGTTTGCAATATCTTAGTCTTCCACCAAGAATTTCTGTCAGGCTTTATGATGAATCCACTTCTTCAAATACTTTATATCTCCTTCTCACTGGCTACAACATTATTTTGCACACTACTAATCATATATCGCATTTGGAGAGTTGGACAGATAAACAATGGTGGTCTCAGAGTTTATGGTCATATGATTGAAGTCCTTGTTGAATCTGCAGCTCTTTTTTCCATATCCTTGATATTATATGTTGTTCTTGATGCTTCCAATAGTTCAGCCTACTATTATATTGATCGTCTTGCAGCAATTTTAAGAGTGCGTGCATGTTTCTTTTTTATTTTTACATCTAATAAAGATCATATATAGGGTGTTACTCCAACACTCCTTATTGGGCGTATTGTAGCAGGACATGCTCGTCCAGATGACTCTTGGCAAGGAAGCATAGCATCATCACTCAACTTTAGGCCTGGTCACTCTCAGACAAGCTCACAGGAGGATTCCATGATTAGCATCAATCTCAGTGATGATCTTGAAGCACAACAACCAGAGAGGAATGTAATATATGAGCACCCTCTAGGAGGTTATCAGGAGGATGTCAGGCAGAGAGTTATGCATGGTGATAACATGGAGGCTCTGCCAGAGGAAGTAGATGGTGGTTCTGACATGATCAATGATGTCATTATTGTCCAAAGGCATTGATATGCTATTGACTTTAGAGATTTGTTTTTACCCAGTTTCATCCTTTTGTTCTGACAAAGTAGGATCTTATACTTATCTAGATAATATAGTAGTAGATGACAGTCTTTTTTAATTATTTGAATGTCAGCAAGCTGCCATTGCATATATTTAGTCTCTGTTAACACTATTCAAAGAACTTTATAGAACAACAATCTTTGAAGAGTACCTGAGTATTGATGCAAATCAACTTATGATAAATATGATGAAAGAACATGAATCACTTTCTAGAAGCCCACAGCTTCTAGTAGGAATGTACACCATATTATATACAGTTATGGCTATATAAGATATGACTGTATACTGTATGAGAAAAGGGTCTCAATGGTATAGTGTATCCCATGTACTGTATTTTATATGAGAATGATAAAAGAGAAGGATGATCTGGTAGAGGTAAGTTTTATTGTTAAAATAACATATTTCATTAATTTGACACATTACATCCCAAAAGTAATAGGTATTGATTGAAATTCTCCATACCCATATGAAACTAATAAAAATCAATCTAATTGATAGGAGTGCATGGTATGATAGCCAGTCTAGCAGGAAACCCACCAACGAGGGTGGAATATTATTACAATCCTCACGCCAAGCATGTTTGAGTGCTAAAGGGTAAATAGAATAGAATTGAGGGATGAGATGAGAGTGAGGAAAACACAGGGAAGATGCAAGAAATAGTGGTTAAATGTGGTGAGATTTGATCATGGCTTCCAAGAATACTGGGTTTTTGTGAACATAGAGTGCGAAGGCATCTGTAGACCAATGACCATGAGCTTGAATTAGATAAGAGAGGACACCATCTTCTGTGAGAGCAGTAGCTCTCCCAGCACATATAGATTGGCCAGCAAAATTAGGGGTGGGGAAAAGTTTCTGAAGGCATCTGATAAACTATGCTCATGTAGGGGTGGATCCATGAGACATGATCCATAGACTGGGATGAAGAGGAAAGCATTTATCATGGCCAGTGAGATATCTGGTGAAAACTGAGAGAGGGTTGATAGTCACATCATCAGCAGAGGGAATGACGACTTTGTTGCCTTCGAACATGGTGTCTGCTTTGTGGGTGGGTAGCAAGAAAGCATACATATCAGGGTACCACTCGACAGAAGATCAGTGAACAATTTTCCTCCATGATCTCAATTTCTTTGTATCAGGCATGCTGAGCTTGGCAAGGTGAAGGAGACTATTAAAAACCCATGACGAGCATTGCAACAAACAGGTGGTCATTGTAGTCAGTGGAGTTGGCAAATGTGCAGATTGCAAGTTTCACATTGTTGTGAGATAAGAGTAGCTTTCTCTTCACATGCAATCCTTATAAATACCAGAAAACTTTTAAGGTTTTTGATACCATGAGGCCATTACAGATGCCATGCATGCCAGAGAAGAAGGACTCCAGCTGGTTGCAGATCCCAGAAAGATATGAATCAATGAAATTGGGCTTGATATGGTAGCACATGAAAACTGTGTAAAAGCTGAGGGTGTCTTCAGTGGGCTTAACAGGGAAGTGATGCATCTTCCAAAAGGTGAGATAGCAATTCAACACAGAGATGTAGGATGAAAAGGATGATTTATCAATAGCAAAGCCAAGCATGACAGCACATTCATGGTGCAAATGCTCCAGGGTCCAGGGTTTATGCACCAGTTGTCTGGACCCTGGTGATATCTCCATTAACAGTGTGCTACCCCCATTGCATTCCATGGGGGCTGAAAAGGAAGTATGATGAGTTCAGGGTCCAAATGTGTGGCCTCACTATATTGAGAGCGAGACAAAGCATCAGCAACTCAATTCTGCACTCCAGGGATATGCATCACATGAAGGTCAATGTTGTTGGCAATGAGAACATCCACTGTAGACTTCAGAATAGCATTGTAATGAGGGGTAGCATGCCAAGTGTTAAATATATCAACAGTGTTCTTGCTGTTGGTCTTGATAGTCAGTCACTTCAGGAAAGCAGGATGGAACTTGTGAGCTGCCCAGTGCACAGCAGAGCACACACAGAGTGCCTCATAGAAGAAAATGACCACATCCTCTGCTGGCATATCAGCTACCAGGCAGAAAAAACCTAGGCCCAGAGCAGGGACATAAAACCCCATCCCATCCAAAGAAGCATCACAAACTATAGTCATCGTCACATCCAAATGCAGGTCCCAATCCTTAGCCTTCCAGCATAAGACATCTGAAGCATTGTGAATGTGATTGACCATCCACATAAGATCCTCTTTAATAGCCTTATTAATCTTCACCTGCACAAAGCCATTCACCTTCCCAGCTGCCTTCACATACAATGACAAAAGGCCAGGCTTCAACAAAGGAAAGACATTGAAAGACCAGTTGCTTCACCCAGATATTTGGTGGAACTCCTTGAGCAGCTGTCAATTAGACACAATGAAGAGGAGAAGCTTATCGATGAGCTTCTTTTTCACAGTCAGAGACATGGTTGCCATCATCTCGTTGACATCAATGTCGAAGCCAATAATTGCCAGTATCTCTCCATACAACTGTTTTCTGCACAAGTGAGGCACACCAATCTTATCCCACAGCAGTAATAATTTAGTTTGCTTCCCTGGGAATTCCATCTTGTATGGAGGATAGAAAAACATTAAGGAAGCAAAGTCAAAAGAAAAATTATCATCAACATAATCAAAAAGATCCTTGATACCCTCCTTATGAATTGTGATCTACATAATGAGGCCACTGACACTGTAGTAGACACAGAAAGAACCTCAGCCACTGAAATTGTTATTCCTATCCACATTCCAGACTAAAACTTTCTTCACCCCCTATATCCTCTGCTCCTCAGTCAGATATCCCATGGTTACCACCTGTTTTAACTGCCACAATGGCATCATAGGGCATATCCTGTAAGCCTTCAAAACATCAGACTTGAAGGCCACAAGTTGAGCATTAGCATGACAGGGTGAGTGCCACTGGAAATGGAGGAGTGCAGTGAAGAAGTGTTGGAGGATGTCTAGCCTTGCACCAGCTATGTCTGAGTGACACACCATGTTGTTGGGTGCATATGGCCCTGCTGACATGTTAGAAACTATTCATAAATTGTCAATGTGAGGTTTAGGCATGATATGAATGGGAGTACTGTACATTCCAGGCAGTAGCTCTGGTCCAAATGGGGCAGAAAACTGTCCAGCTTCCACCTTGTTGTTCCTGTAGTCTGAAATGAACTGCTGTTCCATTTCAGACTGTCTGACCATGGGGTCATCTGAGAGTGGTCCCAGGTGATGGAATAGTCATTGGTTGGCTTGGTGTTTGCCCATGGCCAAAAACCTTCATGCAGCCCAACAATAACTGAATCTACAAATGGTTGATTCAGGTGGTGAGCTAACACAGCTTCAAAGACATCAATCTTGATTGGTGTCATAATCTTGAACAAGTCTGGGTGACTGTTGATAGTGTCAACTGCAGCCACATTCTCATACTCCTCTCCCCATATCCTCATGCTGAGGGTCCAGCTGTTGAGTGCTTGTCAGCAGTATGACTGCCTCAACAGACCAAGCATACATGCCTGTATCGGCACTTTCCTGCTGGCAATGGACAGTGTTCTGCATTCCAATAGTGACATGGATCTTGACTCCAAGATTGGTCAGTTCCTCTCTGCTTAATCCTGGTATCTGCATTGAACTTGTTGTAGGTGAGTCCAGATGATGATAGATGGGAATATTCAAGATCGCTGAACTTGGGGATGTCACAGAAGCATCCTGCCCTTCCCCTGATAGCCTTGTCCAGGTTAAGGATCTGAGCATGTGACTTGATAACATTACTTCTGAAGAGTGAGATGATGTATCAATGATATGACCCAAGCTCTTGTGCTCAGTGAGGGAAGGTGATGAGCATGGCACTGGTATAGGTGATCCATGTCATGCTCCACTCAGCAGTGGTTTTGATATTCTGCTTGAGATCAGCAGAGGAGCTTCCATCAGTGAGTTTGATCATGAGCCTGTCTGACAGGGAGTGGGTCTCAACCTTGTTGATGGTAGTCAAGTGGGCAGCTGCATAGATGGCATCGAGGTTGATGGCCTTTCACACAAGGAGGTTTCTGACTTCGGAGTTAGGGAAGTCTGGGCAGGCCAGTGAGTTGAGGAAGCTTCTCTTAGCAGCCTTGATGTCAGATGTGTAGAGGTTGATGAGAGCAAGGGTTTGTTGCAATTCCAGGTGAAGCAGGGCTTGCTCGAGTTCAACCTCCACAGCCCATGGGTACACTGATTCATCAACTCTGGCTCAGTGGACCACAGCTCTGTCATCATCCTCCTCCTCTTCATCTGAGAGCAATGCAGCTCTGGGCTGTTGTCTTCCCCTAACAAGTTGTCGATCACCCTTTTCTTCATGCTCTAGTCTCTCATCTCTGACATGCTCACCCTGACCTGCTGATCCAGGCTGGTTGTTGCCCTGTTCTCTGGCATCCACATTATCTCTTTCATGTTCATTGAGCATGTCAACATAAACTTGGAAGGCATGCTCATAGTCATTCTCCCCATGGGGACTTCCTCCTCCTGTCCCATTTGGGACTGCTGGGTGCATAGCCAAATGGGAGGTGAGCTCTGTGCTGAGGAGGAAAGTTGCCTGAGCTTTGGTAACCTCTCCTCTTCTGAAATCCTCAACAATGTGGGATTGATTTACAGAGATGGGGCCTCCTCATTCAACACTGCTGGTTGAGGAGTCATTCTGATGCTTGAGATGGTTGATTGACTGTTTGCTGGAGGCAAGTCAGAAGTGGGAGCATTGTTGGACATTGGTGTTTCAGTAGTAGCAAAGGATCTGGAGTAGACATAGTGTATTCAATATCATGCAAAATTACAACAATTTGATCTGATTCTGGCGAGATGACAGGAGTGTTGAGTATTGGTACAAGAAATGATTGTGAGCCTGAGGAACATACCTGGTGAGACAACAAGAGTGTTGGTCTCACTCATGCCTCAGCCAGGTGTTAGGATTGTGCCAATAGGAATGT